ACTGCCTAGTGTAACATGTACTGTGTCTGCTCAGTTTGTAATTTCATTCAGGGCAGGTTCAGAATATGTCTTGGGAGGTAGAAAATATCTGCAAAATACATAATTCATCTGCCACATTAAAACCACTGACAAGTAATGTGAATAACACTTATCAAAGCATTATTATAGAATAAAACAGAATAGGCCTTTATTGTCATTGTACACGTACAATACATTTATGGGACAATGAAATGCTACATTGTGCTGGAAAACCTGGGCTCCTGCCATTTATGTGCATGTTATTTAGAAACCAACATTTACCTGGCGCATTGTTGCACACCTGGCACATTGCAGAAACTCCTCAGGAATGACTTGTGGGACATAATGAACCTAATGAATTGATCCAGCCTCCAGACTCCCCACATCCTAGTCTGATCAGACATCCGCAGGATTCACAAGGTGATCAACAAATAACGTTAAGGGATCCAAAGGCAACATCCTAGTGCGAAATACCACAAGGCACCATCTCAGGTCCCGTGTACTTTTAGTGGCAGAAGTAGAACTCGGTTTGAGATATGATTACAAAGTGGTGGGAATAACTCATGAAAACTAAAACCCTTCAAAGTCAACTGTTAGGCAACGCTCGGTGAGGCTATTTTTAGATTAATAACAGGAAGTCCTGTTCTGATGGCGTCTCTATGATGTGTCTCTGAATCTCCTTCATGTGTGTCAAAACAGCAACCCTTCAGCTTTTTTGGGTCTCTCCTGCTCCCTTTTTTAACTTTAAAATAGAATTCACAATGCACAATGTTGTAAATTAAAAAAAAATATATGCATACATCCTGAAACTGCTAAGTTGAGCCCCAAACTACGATCTTGAACATGGAAGTCTGACCAGTCTGACAGAGAAACCCACTGCTCATTGCACACATTTGAGATCTGTGGTGAAATGGTCATAACAGGATTGTAAAGATCCGTCTGAAAGTGGCCCAGACCTATACAAGCCAAATGTAAATAGTTTTCGTTTTTACAAGCAGATTCCAGGAAGTTCTTGATCCCACCCTCATTTGTTGTTTAAAGGAACAACAGAAACAGCGTCCTGTCATTTACTCAGGATTCTACAACAGTGATTGTCAGTTTCCACTAGTTCCCTCTTGTTGGTGAACAGGGGCAATAAAAAGTGAAGAGCAAAGCACAGTGAAGTGTCCTGTCCATCACAAAGTAGTTAGAAGTCTACTAGAAGCCAAGCAGCCGGATTAGATGAAGGTGACAGAACTCCCACGTGCTTCCTTCGGCTCCTTTGGCTCTCATTCCCACCTCTTGAGTTGCATCGTGGCTGCTCAGCCCATATGGGGACTGGTGCTGGATAGGCTGCTCACACATGGTGCCCTGTTAATCCCACTCAAGGATCACAGTACTGCCTCCACTCCCAGTACTGTGCCTCACTGTATGCACTATTTGGCTGAACATTGAA